AGGAATGGAAAAAACCCAGCTTTCCTGCTGCTCTTCCAGTTATCAGCTACCATGGGTACTGTGTGTAAATCTGTTGTTGTGATGGTGTAATTAAGCCCATGTGAACAGGATATTGCAATCAGTGGAATGAGTTTGCAAGTTAAGCATCTGAGCAGAAAATGGAGGTTTTGTAAAAATATGAATACTCCAGGAAATTTCAGTCCAAAATGGTTTCTTCTCCCCTTGGAGAAATCTAGAAGTATTATATGCTGGGCGAGTTTTACATTAAACTGTCTGTTTGATTTATCTTGTGCTCCCAGCCTCTGCTATGGATATTCTTCCTTACCAGTTCTTCCAAGCTGCATTGACTCCTCTGAGTGAATCATTTTCATTCAAAGGACTCGGACCTTTGAACACGTGAGATCCGATTAGCAAGCATGCTCCATAGATGGAGAGTAGAGATTTTGATACCAGCAACTCAGACTGTCAAGTTACACTGAAACCAAATAAGCCAAAGTGTTGTGGCTTGGTTTTCTGAACTAACTCAAGCTGTTAATGTGTAAACACTTCAGCTTGGCTGAATATTGGAATGAAATGTTTTGACACAACCAATTCAAAGCGTTTGATGCCTTCTAGTTAGTTAACTTCAATATTGTGAAATGTATCTTTCTCAAACTGGAAGGATTCACAGCTGGGATAAATGCTGGTATTTGTTGTACTCTGCTGTAAGGCAAGGCATCCAGCTGCCATGGTGCACCTGAGAATGCTCTTCAGAAATTTTTGCATCTGCTAACGGAAAGTGTCAAGCCAGGGCTTGTGGTTTAGCATCATCTTCTTAAACAAACAATCAACAAAACCCAGAACAAAAAACAACTACCTCTCACCTGCAGTTGACCCTGGGAATTTTCTTCTTGCCTTTTATAATGATCCTGGATTGTGCATCTTCCCTGAGCACGCAGTTTTTAAAATGAAGCCTGAAGCATCTCTGCCTTTGGTAGTACACAGCCATGAACATCCCTCTCTCCCCTGAACTGGGTCACCCCAAAGCTTCTTCATAAATTCTCTACCACTGGTGCTATTAACCTGGCAGAGCATCTACACCTAGGCTGAGCTAGAGAACAGCCAGACCCAGTTTGGATATGCCAGCCACTTGGAGAAAGTACCATACTAGACCTGTTCATGCCAGCTCTAAGTGCATAAGCCAAAGTAGTATAGTCTGGTGTCTCCACCTCTCCTTCAAATATAGCCCTTATTTCTGAGGGTCTTTCTAGACATCTGAACAAAGAAGTCTTCCCCTCCCACAATACACACATAGTGAAGCCATCTCC